GCCAGACCTCTTTGAATGCGGGCCCTGGGTTGCTGTCCCCGAAGCTCAGGTCCTCCCCAGCCTCGCCAACGCCAGAGCTGCCACTGCAGCTGCCCCCGCCGCCTCCTGTCCCGGGGGCCGAAGCCCCGTCGTGGTGGCTCTTGGCGCGGTTATGCAGCTGCAGGAGGGCCTGGTACCAGCTGTCCTGCTCGGCCTCGCTGTCCGCTGCGATCGCAAAGTGCTCGTCCCGGGTGTAGAGGGCCACCAGGTGCTTATTCTTGGAGTCAGCCCGCTTGTTGATGTTGAAACAGCTCTCGAGGGGGATCGAGCGTTTGGGGGCGCTCGACTTGTGCCGCCACTTCTTCTCGTTCTCATAGTACTCCAGGCGCGCCGGGCCCCCCGCCTCGCTGGCCGCCCGCAGCACGAAGAAGCGCTTGTGCATGCTCTTGGGTTTGCGCAGGTAGCCCACCTTGCGCACGTCCGAGAAGCCCTCGGTCTCCGTAGGGCTCGCCATGCTGCCGCCACCACCTCCGCCGAGCAGAGGGAGGCGCCGAAAAACCACCCGGTGGGGGGCGGAGGCTCCTCGCCGAGGCCCCGCGCATGCAAACAGGGCTGGAGGCGGCCAAAACCCCGACTCCGAAATCCACGCCGCCCCCCCGCGCTGGGAAGGGGCAGCCCAAGCAGGACGCTGCGGCTACGACAAGGAGAGAGCCCCGGCCAGAGTTTACGGGCGTTTCATGCAAACACCCGGGGGAGAGGCAGTGCGTCCGGCGGGTGTGCAGCCCGGATCCTCACAGAGCCAAGTCTCTGGGAAGGAGTGTAGATGCATCTCTCCCCGCCCGAGCCGGAGTCCCGAGCAGGCAGGCGATAGCGGCCAGGGGTCCCCAGGTTGCCCCCTCCAGGCGCGCGCGCCTTCCCTCCCGAGTTCCCCTCTGGAAGTAGCGATTCCCGAGGCAAATTAAATATCCTTGGGCAGGGGGAGGCGAGCTGCCAAGTCTCAACGTTGCACGGGGTTCTCCCTCCTCCTCCTCCTCCGCCTCCTCCTCCGCCTCCTCCCACCCCCCAACAGTCCCCGCCGCCACCAGCCGCCCAAATACCAGCTCAATCGCAGAGACCGCGGCGCTGCGGCTGTTGCTGCTGCTGCCGCCACCCGCAGTCGCGTCCTCTGCAGCCCCCTTTCGGGCCCATCTCGGCAGGCGGAGAAAGTGGCTTTTCCACGCGAAACGCTACTAGGCAACCGGGAGAGCTGGGGACGCGCCGGAGGGACAGGCACACCCCTGCCCCTCGCTCCAGTCGGCAGGGGAGGAGAGGAGGGGACAAGGGCGGGAGGCGAGGGAGGAGGTTTGGGAAGGAGTCGGGGAAGACGCCTCTTCCCGGGAGGCGCTGCCTCTGCAGTTACTTCTCCCCTCCTCCCTCCTCCTCCTCCTCCTCGGAGAGTTGCCGAGAGCCCCAACCAAAACAAGCGGCGGCGTCTGGCTCCGCGCGCCGGCCCCCTCCGACCGCGCCGCCGTCTCACTCGGAGGAGAAAAACACGTGACGGAG